TTGTATCTGGAAATATGATTCACCCTAGGTCATGCATCCAAAGGATCTGTACTACGCCCCAGCATTTAAATAATCCTTTAGAGGAACCCCTTCTGTGTGCCAGCCCCCTAAGGGGCCTCGCTCTCCCTTAAGGGGAGGCCGTGTGGTCTCAATGCCTCCGAGACCGAGCCTGTGGGCTCCCACACTCCTGTTTCACACCGTGAGCTCTGCCCAGTGAGCCCAACTGAGAGAGACTCCCGGACAGAGACTTTGACTCTCTTCGGGGACCAACGCACCTCGGCAAGTATTGGGAGAGCCCTGCATGGATATGAAATGGGTGTCCACATCCGATCCGCAAACATGGTCCACGGATATAGAGCATATCGCCACAGATCTGCAGGGCTCTAAGTATCGGCAGTGACACCCGGCAACTTTTTCAAAACAGAGCAAGGTTTATTAGGCAACTGGGACATAGTCCATGCTCGCCGAGCCAGCGGAATCAGCCAGCCAAGATGCTATGGAATCCATTTCTGGCCCTGCCTCTCTGTGTCAGTCCCAGGTGAGAGTCCATCGTCGAAGTCCTGCAGACCCACGCTGAGCTCTCATGTTCTGCTTGCCGGAGATTCCTGGGGATCGGTGTCAGTGGCTCAGTCCTTGGGGCTTCCATTGTCTTTGTGGTCTCTCCATTGACGAGGGTTGGTTGCAGCCAGCCCTTTAATCACCCATTCGTTCAACCCAGTGACCCAACACTTCATCTCTCCTGCCGTGCCCCAAGAGCAGATTTAACACTTTGGCAATGGGTAACAATGCAAAGTACAGAGGGAAACTGAGGCACCCATAGGAAGCAGAAAAATATTACAGAAAGTTTCTATTTCATCACAGCTTGTCTACAAAGCTCTCTGCAGCTGAATGAGGAGCTTGCGTGTTACAGCAAAGTGAGTGTGACATCATTAAATAACCACATGGGTCATCATCCCTAAGGTGTTTAACAGCCGCATACAGTAGCTTTAAGCAAGGTCAGGTAGTAAGAGTGTCTACAGCAGTGCTCACTGAGTGCATATTTGCTGATGATCATCACTTCGTTCTGCTTGGACTGGAGAGAGGGGAAAAATCCAAGTGTTGGGTTAGTTACCCAAGCAGTGATTGCGATTCACAACACAGAGGACATGAAAAAAGAGACCCAGTACCAGGGATTAATTACATCACTCCCAAACCGTTTCAAGGAGATTAACAGGAAATCAGACCCTTTCTCCCAAAGTCAGAGTATTGAGCCACCCCATAATGGGAAAGACTAACGGAGAAAACTCGCTCTGTGGGAATTGCCATCAGAAGTCCAAAGGGCTTAGCCTAAATGCCAGACGTCAGACAAGAAGGGAACGAAGAGAAAGGGTGGAAAAGAATCTTAACTCCTGGAGGTGGAAGTTCCATTTTTCCAGGAGCAAATCACCATAACTCCCAAACATGCTCGTGTAACACAATGGGTGTAGGTTCCACTAGTTAGGACACACATGTATTAGGGATATCGACCGTTGGGCTTCAGGGAGTAAGGCAGACACGGCCTGCCTGGGATTATTCAGAGTTAGTGTTTAATGGTTCCAGTCAGGACCCTGTGTGTACTGTGTGGTGCAAGGTGTCACGAACTACATCTGTATTCCTCACTCGTGGTCCAGCAAGGGCACCGTCTCCTCAGCTTTCACCTCCTTGTGTCTCTCTCCCTTCTGATCAGGGTTTTTCCAGGCACAGTCCACTGCCTATCCTGTGAATGCCCGAGCAAGTCAGATGGCCGACACAGGCTACTCTGCTTTGCCTCCAGAGGCTATACACCGTGTAATTGCCTATAGTTATAAGTTACCACACAGCTCTTTCTAAGCAAGCACATTTATTCTTAAGGTGAAAGCATGACAGAGAAAAGACTTGAAAACAATAAAAGAACCTCCATGCATGCCAATAAGCTGACCAGAAATCACCCCCAACTTCAGCTCGGGCTCTGGGAAGAGTCAGTGCTTCAAACTCCACCATAGGGGGAGGAGGGGGGGTTATGGTTACAAATTCATAACAGCTGTTAGCTCAGAACAAGAGCCCCCATGAATAGGTCAAGTCCTTCGAATCCGTCTCAGGAAGGATTGGGGCCTCCCTTGGTCAGACGGTCCTGTCCAGTTGCTGGATCAGAAAGAAGGCCCCAAGTCAGTTTAAATGCAGATTATTTGTCCAAAAGCCCTTTGTTTGTCTGTTGGTCTCCAGGGACTCCAGTGTGAACCAGTATACGTAAGCCTGTCCAGGTGGGGGTACCTCTTGGGAGGTGAATTTGCCCAGTCACTCCCCACTGTTCTGAGCTCCTGGGGGGCTGTGGTCCCTCTCCCCCAGGGAATTAAACACAGACCCTGGCGCACAATGAAACATAAACTCAGGGGTGAAAGTAAGTCGAGCGACTTACTGGTACGCTGGGGCCAGCTCTGGCCCCAGGAAGGGGCGGGGCCTAGGGCAGAAGGGGCGGGGCTGAGGGGAGTCAGAGCCAGCCCACCCTGTAAGGTAAGTGCCCCCCCCTTCCCCTCCCCCTCCCCCACCGAGGTAGCAGCAGCAGCACCGGGCTCCGGGGGCTATTTAAAGGGCCCGGGGCTCCCCTGCTTTTATTGCCCTTGTCCTTTAATTAGCTGCCGGAGCCCGGGAGAAGCGGTGGGCTCCAGCGGCTATTTAAAGGACCGGGGTGGCAGAGGCAGCTGGAGCCCCGGCCCTTTCAATAGCCCCTGGAGCCCCCGCTTGGAAGCTAGAGAGAACGACAGTATCTGTTTGTGTCCAGGAACCTCACAAAGAATCCCTTTTATAATCATCACGACTGAATCCTGCTCCTTCCCTACTGTGAGAAACACTCAAAGGAAGATGCCGCTTCACTCGGCTGGACTACAGGAGCCTGTTGGCTTGTTGGCTGGATACCAACTAAGGGCGGAGCAACTGAGCTCTCAGGTGTATCTAATGAGAAGGACCTGGGGCTGGAAGACATCCCTGCGAATACCAAAACTCAGGATCCACCGAGGCTGGAACAGGAAAGCTTGGCGTGGCCGAGGATAAATAAGACGAATCAGAGAAAGGTTCTCCGGAGACTGAATGAGACTGAGTATGGTGGAGGAGTGGCACATGGTACGGACTGAGTGCTTTTCGCGCTGACCCACACAGAGGTGTTCACGGAGTCCTGCACAGGAGACTGCTGACATGGGCACAGGACGACCAGGCATCATGCGATGAGGGGGGAGATGAGCACTGGGTTACAGCTCTGCAATTACAGAGTAAATGGCTCCTGCTCAGTTGCACAACTCCACCCCACTTCCCAGTTGTGAGTCGGGTGGGAGGGGGTAAGGTCACATGTACGGGGTGTGCTGGAGTTCTCCTTCTTCCATCCGTGGGTGGTGCTGCGTCCGCCCATGAGAAGCATTCACATACGGCAGAACAGCACAAGAAGTAGGAAGTTGTGACTGGGGAATGTGGGAGAAATACAACTTAAGAACATCAGAACGGCCAGACTGGGTCAGACCAAAGGTCCATCTAGCCCAGGATCCTGTCTGCCAACGGTGGCCAGTGCCAGGTGCCCCAGAGGGAGTGAACAGAACAGGGAATCATCAAGTGATCCATCCCCTGTCACCCAATCCCAGCTTCTGCCAAACAGAGGCCAGGGACACCATCCCTGCCCATCCTGCCTAATAGCCATTGGTGGACCTCTCCCTCGTGAACTTACCTAGTTCTTTTTTGAACCCTGTTATAGTCTGGGTCTCCACAACATCCTCTGGCAAGGAGTTCCACAGGTTGACTGTGTGTCGTATGAAGAAATACTTCCTTTTGTTCGTTTTAAACCTGCTGCCTATACAAGATCATTGGGACCCCATTATGGCTCAAATAGCTCAGCTCTATATCACTGCTTGTGGTAGATGACCGTGGTGAGGGAGCATGGTAGCAGGTACTCAGAATGGATGGAGGTATACACACTTGCCTCTGCCCGGTAGATATTATACTCGGAACATAATCCCACTTTATCACAATTACTGCTTTGCATAGGGCCTGATCCTTCCAGTGCTTTCAGCTCGCCACTGATGCAAGCCGGAGTTCAGAATGCCGAGCAGCCTCCAGATTGTCTCTGGGCTGGTGTGGCGAAGTCCCACTGGGACTAGTCTACCTGGAAAGTAAAGCAAGCAGGAGGGAAAAGATAATACAATGATTCTTTCAGCCTCTCCGGGCGGGGCCCACCTGGCACCCTGGTTCCTCCCCGGGCCTGGAGCAGGGCCAGCCCCCGGCCGGCTGCAGTGACATGGGCTGGGCAGGGACCAGGCGGGGGGTCACTGGTGTATCGCACCCACTTCGGGGGGGTCACTGGTGTATCACGCCCACCTCGGGGGGGTCACTTGTGTGTCGCACCCACCTCAGGGGGGTCACTGGTATATCGCACCCACCTCGGGGGGGGGGTCACTCGTGTATCACGCCCGCCTCAGGGGGTCACTCGTGTATCGCACCCACCTCTGGGGGGGTCACTTGTGTGTTGCACCCACCTCCGTGGGGTCACTCGCGTGTCACACTCACCTCGGGGGGGGGTCACTCATGTATTGCGCCCACCTCCGTGGGGTCACTCGCGTGTCACACTCACCTTCTGGGGGTCACTCGTGTATCGCAGGAGAGTGAGTTTGTGTGTGTGGTTTTTGGAGGGGGGTGAGGGAGTGAGAGAACCTGGATTTGTGCAGGAAGTGGCCCACCTTGATTATCATACACATTGTGAAGAGAGTTGTCACTTTGGATGGGCTATTACCAGCAGGAGAGTGAGTTTGTGTGTGGGGGGGCGGAGGGTGAGAAAACCTGGATTTGTGCTGGAAATGGCCCAACTTGATGATCACTTTAGATAAGCTATTACCAGCAGGTCAGTGGGGTGGGAGGAGGTATTGTTTCATGGTCTCTGTGTGTATATAATGTCTTCTGCAGTTTCCACGGTATGCATCCGAGCTGTAGCTCACGAAAGCTCATGCTCAAATAAATTGGTTAGTCTCTAAGGTGCCACAAGTCCTCCTTTTCTTTTTGCGAATACAGACTAACACGGCTGTTACTCTGAAACACCTCAGGGGGGTCACTGGTGTATCGCACCCACCTCTGGGTGGGGTCACTGGTGTATCACACCGTCCTCGGGGGGAGTTACTCGCATATCGCACCCACCTCGGGGGGGGGGTCACTCTGTTACACAGACAAAACTGCAGAGGGTCGTTTCAGGGGACAAGACAAGATGTCACGTTTATTATCACACAGTTTGATTTATGACCAATAACTAATACCTAATACTTATGTACACACACACACACACACGCCCCCGCCCCTCCCACACACTCCCCCAAATGTTCTGCAGCTGCGGTATAGTTACCAGTCCTGAATGTAGCTTGGGTTCGTAGCTTGTGGCGGCTAACTGGCCAGGAAAGCCGGGCACAAGGAAGAGCTGGGTCTCTGTTGGGCATGCACTGATGCCCTTCCATGTTGGCAGCAGAATGTTACCCTCCAAAATCTTCCATCTCATCCATCCTTTTCGTAGGCTTCAGTTTGAATCCAGAGTCTACAGGTCTTGCTGTGTCAGGCTGCCTCTGGGTCCGGTGTGACTGATCCCCCGTCAATTGCAGACGTGACTTTCAGCCTAGGACCTGGCTTTGATGTTTCTTCAATTGTACTTTTGTTCTTTTCTTTTGAGGATGGACTCTTCTTGCTTTGTCAGGGCTGTTGTCTGCATCTTCAGCCCTTGGTGTTTACACTTTATTTCATCAGGACAGGCTGGGGCTGGAGGTTGATTCCATCATCCATCCATCCCTCATCCCTACATATAAACTACACTAATCAGATTACAGCAGGGTTTAGCAAAAACGAAGTGAGCATTTTAAAATGGGTTACAACATGGACATGTGTAAGGAATGGCAAAAAGGGAGCAGAAGTTCCAATATAGACAAGTATAATGAATGACAAACAGTGAGCAGAAGTTACAATGTTGAAGCAGTGCAAGTTTCAATGATTTAAGCAGCAATTGGATTGAAAGTGAAACTCAATTAGCCAGTTATTGGGGTAACCAGTTTTATGAATGAATGTTGTTTCATTCATAAAACTTTGCTTATGAAGTTATATTCATAAAGTGAACAACTAAAAACAATTTCATTGATCAGTTCTACAACTCGTGTATCGCTCCCACCTCAGGGCGGGGGGTCACTTGTGTATCGCACCCACCTCGGGGGGGGGAAAGCGAAACGCAGCGTCTCCCCCACCCCCGGCAGAGGCGGGGCCACGATACCAGCTGTTCCCGGGTCTCTCCAGGAGCCTGGACCCCGGGACGGGCCGGCTATGGCTTTAGGGCAGCTGGACACTGGCGCGTTACTGAGGTTGGGGACAGCTCGGCCCCCATGCTGTGGGGGAACAGCCCCTGCAGAAGCAGTGGGGGCCGGTGTGGGCGGGGCCAGCGGGCATGGCGCGGCGGGCCTCTCCATGGGTTGAGAGAGCGGGGCGAGTGAGGGCGGGGGGCGGCTGGGCAGTGGGAACTCATACTTACCTGGCAGGGGACATACCATGATCACGAAGGTGGTTTTCCCAGGGCGAGGCTCATCCATTGCACTGCGGGTGTGCTTTCCCTACTTTTGCGCTCAGTACAGGAAAACGAGAATTGAGAGGTAAGCTGTGCAGGGAACTCTTCCTCAACTTGCACTCCACCCCCCAAGGGCCTTTTGGGATCTTTTATGGACTCCAGGTTTCATTTGATTTCCAAGGTTTGTGGCCTCATTAATTCGCCATCTCTCCTAATGCAGGGATCCTACCTGTCAGACCAAAGCTCGATTGCCCAAAAGAGCTAAGAAACAGAAAAAGCTGAGCACCAGGTGTTACACTTACCTGAGCATCCAGAATGTGACTGTGCCCTGGCAAGTTCAATGCTGCCAAAAGAAGTCCGCAAATAAGGAGCTCATCAGGTCCCCCTGCTAGCACCCAAATCTGGGGTCGAGTCAATCTGCTGGGAAATAAGGAAAAGGAAATGAATAAAGAAGTCGGGAAATAACAAGGAAATGAAGAGATTTGTCGAATGGGTTTCTGTTCTATTTACCATCTTCCCAGCTACCAATCAAAGTTAAAGACCTAAGGTCAACCTATCAGCATCAGTACAGATTATTAGACGGATATTAAAAGGAGCTGCTGTCAGAAGTGTTACGTGCCTGCAAGCAGCATGCAGACTGTTTAAAACACCGTAATGAGAGGCTTGGATGAAATGTACGCCCTAAATCAGAAACGACAATAGGAGGACCACAAGAACTGGGATGATTTAGTTGGGGTTGGTCCTGCTTTGAGCAGGGGGTTGGACTAGATGACCTCCTGAGGTCCCTTCCAACCCTGATATTCTACGATTTGAACACCTAGGTAAATGGCAGAGTAATGGAGGCCGTTAGAGGCAAAAAGTCATCCTTCAAAATTTGGAAATCAAATCCTAGTGAGGATAACAGGAAGGTGCATGAACTCTGGCCGGTTAAGTGTCAAAGTCTAACAAGTCAGGCCAAGAAAGAATCTGAGAAGCAATGTGCTAAAGACACAAAAGTGAACCATAAGAATGTTTTTAAGTACATCAGAAGCAGGCAGCCTGGCAAGGAGGCAGTGGGGCCACTAGCTGACAAAGGAGGACTCTAGGAAGACGAGGCCATTGCAGAGAAGCCCCATAAATTCTTTGCAGCGGTCTTCATGGCAGAGGACGGGAAGGAGAGTCCCACATCGGAGCTGTCCTTATTGCGTGACAGATCTGAAGTCCCAGCCCAGTATAAGAGGTTTTAGAACAAATTGTTCAGTTAAACAGGAATCCATCACCAGGACCAGATGGCACTCCACCATGGGTTCTGAGGGAGCCCAGATATGAAATTGCAGAACTACGAGCCACAATGCGCAAGCTGCCACTGACGCAAGCCTCTGTTGCCAGCTGTCATAGAATCCCTGGGCGATGCTCTGGAACTGCTCCCCATGAAGCCAGTCAGGACTCTGGGGTAGTCGCATTTCTGTGAGCAGCCTGTCTTCAGGACACACAGCTCACACAGCTTCCACCTTCCTGGGTCTGACCTCGGAGCATTCAGCATCCTCTGCCCCTCCGTGCGCTTCCCCCAGCGAATCCGCTCAGGCGGGGTCCTGGGGAAGCCAGAGGGTCCTGAACCCCAACTTCGCAGTCAGACGTGACTCTCAGCCAGCCAGTAAAACAGAAGGTTTATTAGACGACAGAAACATGGTCTAAAACAGAGCTTGCAGGTGCAGAGAAGGGGACCCCTCAGCTGGGTCCATTTTAGGGGGCAGTGAGCCAGACAACCATGTCTGCCCTTCACTCCATGTCCCAGCCAGCCCCAAACTGAAACTCCCTCCAGCCCCTCCTCCTCTGGGCTTTGTTCCTTTCCCGGGCCAGGTGGTCACCTGATTCCTTTGTTCTCCAACCCTTCAGCTCTCACCTTGCAGGGGGGGGGGGGAAGGGCCCAGGCCATCAGTTGCCAGGAAACAGGGTGTCAGCAATTCTCTGTGTCCAGACCCCTGCATATCAGGGTTGGAAGAGACCTTAGGAGGTCATCTAGTCCAACCCCCTGCTCAAAGGAGGACTGATCCCCAATTAAATCATCCCAGCCAGGGCTTTGTCAAGCCTGACCTTAAAAACTTCTAAGGAAGGAGATTCCACCACCTCCCTAGGGAACCCATTCCAGTACTTCACCACCCTCCTAGTGAAAAAGTTTTTCCGAATATCCAACCTAAACCTCCCCACTCCAACTTGAGACCATTGCTCCTTGTTCTATCATCTGGTACCACTGAGAACAGTCTAGATCCATCCTCTTTGGAACCCCCTTTCAGGTAGCTGAAAGCAGCTATCAAATCCCCCCTCATTCTTCTCTTCCATAGACTAAACAATCCCCGTTCCCTCAGTCTCTCCTCATAAGTCATGTGTTCCAGTCCCCTAATCATTTTTGTTGCCCTCCGCTGGACTCTTTCCAATTTTTCCACATCCTTCTTGTAGTGTGGGGCCCAAAACTGGACACAGTACTCCAGATGAGGCCTCACCAATGTCGAATAGAGGGGGACGATCACGTCCCTCGATCTGCTCGCTATGCCCCTACTTATACATCCCAAAATGCCATTGGCCTTCTTGGCAACAAGGGCACAGTGTTGACTCCTATCCAGCTTCTTGTCCACTGTCACCCCTAGGTCCTTTTCCGCAGAACTGCTACCATTCGGTCCCTAGTCTGTAGCGGTGCATGGGATTCTTCCGTCCTAAGTGCAGGACTCTGCACTTGTCCTTGTTGAACCTCATCAGATTTCTTTTGGCCCAATCCTCCAATTTGTCTAGGTCCCTCTGTACCTATCCCTCCCCTCCAGCGTATCTACCACTCCTCCCAGTTTAGTGTCATCTGCAAACTTGCTGAGGGTGCAATCCACGCCATCCTCCAGATCATTAATGAAGATATTGAACAAAACCGGCCCCAGGACTGACCCTTGGGGCACTCCACTTGATACCGGCTGCCAACTAGACATGGAGCCATTGATCACTACCCGTTGAGCCCGACAATCTAGCCAGCTTTCTACCCACCTTGTAGTGCATTCATCCAGCCCATACTTCTTTAACTTGCTGGCAAGAATACTGTGGGAGACAGTGTCAAAACCTTTGCTAAAATCAAGGAACAACACATCCACTGCTTTCCCCTCATCCACAGAGCCAGTTATCTTGTCCTAGAAGGCAATTAGATTAGTCAGGCATGACTTTCCCTTGGTGAATCCATGCTGGCTGTTCCTGATCACTTTCCTCTCCTCTAAATGCTTCAGAATTGATTCCTCAAGGACCTGCTCCATGATTTTTCCAGGAACTGAGGTGAGGCTGACTGGCCTGTAGTTCCCAGGATCCTCCTTCTTCCCTTTTTTAAAGATGGGAAAAATAAGTTTGATGACAAGAACAATCAAGGTCCCTCCCTTTATTGTTATTTACTGGTTATTACTGATAGGAGGAGGATGAAGGAAAAAAGAATGAAAAACAGGGGTAGGGGGGAGATAGAGAATGTTCTTCTTTCTGGCTGGGTCCCAAGGAGGGGCCCCAACAATGAAGCTGAGCACAGGGCCCCACTAACTCTAAATCCGCCACTGGGGCTGACCCCTCCCCCACAGCTCCCCACGCCACAGCCAGGGGCTGACCCCCGACTCCCCGAGCCTTGCATGCTGCTGCCAAGACAGGGGCTGATCCCTCCCTCGCCCCAGCTCCTCACACCGCTGCCAGGGGCTGGCGCTGACCCCTAACCCCCCCCAGCTCCGCGTGCCGCTGCCAGGGCAGGGGCTGATCCCTCCCTCGCCCCAGCTCCCCACACCACTGCCAGGGGCTGGGGCTGGCCCCGAACCCCCCACAAGCTCCATTCTACCTGGGGCTGACCTCACAAGCCCTTCTGCCTGACACCTCGTGTCACCACCCCCCCATGTTCCTCCATGCCCCGCTAGGGGGGGTGCACCGGACTTTTGTGGTAAACTGGGCATTTGTTCATTTGCTCTTGCCAGCTGATCAGTCAGGATAGCCGGGACAGAGCTTAAAAAGGGAACTGTCCCGGCCAAATGGGGACGTATGGTCACCCTATCTCCAGGCAAGTGGGTCCTGAGGGAGTCTGGCCAGGGCGGGGGCAGACCCTGGCCTGGCTAGTTGCGCCAATCCTGAGAGGCTGGAGCGATTCCCCGCCTTGGCACTGGACCGGCCGCGCTGCCAGCTCAGCCTGGCAGACGCCATCACCTTCCAGCAGGGCTGGTGAGTGTGGCAGGGGGCAGGGTGTGAGGGAGTGGGTCTCTGGAGGTGTGTGAAGGTCTGCAGGCCAGTGGGGGGGATCTCTTGGAGGGAGGTTCGGGGGGGGGGCTGCTGGGCATAGCAATTGCAGGGGACGCTGGGCATAGGGAGCTGGAGGCTGTGTGGCGTGGCATGGGCCCACCCCAGAGGGGAAAGGGCAGGCTGGCAGCACAGGGCCAGGCGGGCCAGTGTGCGTCTGGCAACTGCTGGTTTGTATACAGTGTCCTTGCACTGGGCTGGGCAGAGTGGGGCTGGCCCCACCATGCTATACCCCATTGCCCCTGGCTGGCCCCTTGCTCTGGGGACTGGCTTCCCCACACCATGCTCCTTTGCCCCCTTGGGGGTCCACAAAAGGTTAATCTGGCCCTGCCCAGGAGTCCCAGCTCCCAGTCCCACGCTCCTCCTCGAGCCTGGCTCCCAGCCTGTCCCCCCCCAACTGTAACCACTAGACTTCACCTCCCCACCACCCACCGAGCCAGGACAGAGGCCGGGGGCAGGGCAGGTCTAGCCCCACAGGTCACCACACATCTTGGGCACTCCATCATTATTACAAGCTTTGAAGCAGCAGCCAGGTGCCCCCATCATGGACCTGGACCCCAATGTGGGAGGCGCTAGACAAATCCAGAACACAGACAGCTCCTGCCCCAAGCTGCTGCTCTAAGGATAAGGCCAGAGATATGAGGTGGGTCCAGACTGATGGACAGGGAGCACCAGGGTATGACACACTGCTCAGCCTGAGGCTGTGGCCTGGAGCTTTCTATAGCCATCCCAGCAAAGAGGAGCTTCAGACGCAGGGCCCAGGGTTCCCATGCTGGGGAGAGGTGACCCCACTGGAGTGTTGGTGTGGTTGGTATCTGACTGCAAGGGGGAGGGACGAGGTATGGTCCCTGCGTGACTGCGCAGGGGGGATGATGACAAATGGTCCCTGGGTGACTGCGGGGGAGGACAGAGGACGGACAAGGTATGATCCCCGGGTGACCTCGGCACTGCAAGGCATGATCCCTAGCCAGTCCTCCCTAGGAAGCCCAAAGTCTGAGGGGGGCTCTCACTGCCAGCCCAGCCTGTGCCAGGGCAGCTCAGGGCTCACCCCGCCAGCATGCAAGTCTTGCTCAGGCTCGTTCCATGTACTCAGTGACATGGACCGATTCATTCAGACGTTCTAAAGCCGAACTGTACTGAGGGGCGCCTGCCTGCAGGGCACGGGGCCAGGATGTGCTGGGATGGAAACGCCAGAACCCCTGCAACCCGTTCAAAGGTATCTAATGCTGCCACGCCCAAGAGCAGGGAACCAGGCAGGGGCCCATCCTGCTCACGCTGCAGTGTGGGATCATGACACTTCTGCCTGGCACCACATAACAGCCATCTCCAGAGGAACCCCAGCCTTCTACGGCCACAGACAGGCTGGAGCAGACCAGTTCCAGGCTGGCTTTGCCAGGTGGCTCGTGGGCCAGGAGCCTGGTCATCATTCCGTCAACTGAGAGGTCTCACAATGAGAGAAGGCGGGGAGGCAACCTCTCTTGTATCGGACCAGCTGCAGTTGGTGGAAGAGAAGCTTTCGAGCCACACTGAGCTCTTCTCCTGGTCAGACGTTACCCAGGCACTGCTGTTAAATCATTGTGTCCCATGCCAGGGGGGACAGCGCCTCCCTGCAGCTGGTTTGCTGGCTGCCAGGTCCTGAAGAGGGTCTGGCTGGATGCTCTCTGCTGCTGATAAATGCATGTTAACAAAAACACTGTTTTAACCCATTCCTTACCCTGCCTCTGCTGCAGCCAGTGCTGCCTCTGTTGGTGACAGGACACTGGGCTAGAAGGGCCCTGGGCCAACCCAGTTTACTAAATCTGGTGTTAAACAAAATCCCTTCTTCACAAGCTGCTGTATTCACCCTTGCACCATGGCTGCTTCTGCAGCCACCACAGGCTTCCAGCTCCCATGAGACCTGAGTTTACAACGTAAAGTTCAAGCAGAAACTAATGCCCCCCTCCTTTTAAATACAAACTACTCTCACAGCACGCCCTGCTCGTCCTGCAGCACAAAGGCAGACTGTGCCTTTAAGGTCAGCATGGAGGGCACTCGCACAACCCCTTTCCCTGTGCCAGTTGCAAGGGTGTTAGGTGCAACTGCACCAGAGGCCTTCCCCTTCCTGGGGAGCCCTTGCTCTAGTCTAGGGCCAAGGAGCCGAGTGGCGTTTACACAGGTGGGCCATACGGCAGGCCGAGCGCGATCTCCTCAAACACGAGATGCCCAGAAGATGCAGGGGCACAGCTTGTGCAGTGGGGCGACTGAGTACATACCCCAGAGTACCCCCAGGCGGCAGGGAGTTTCTGTAGAAAGGGAAATTCCACAGAACAAACATGGTGCTCATTGAACTGTAATGTTTGGGAACCAAAGAGTTAAAGCAGGAAGCTCCTGGCTCCTCACAAGACCCCAACATTCCCAAAAGCCATGGAACCTTCCCCCACCTGCTCTGCCAGGGGCTCAGAACCCAGCCCATGTACTGACTGTACCCCAGGTGGGTGTAGGTGCAATGGCCAGGGGGAGGGGGGACACTGAGGCTCAGAATGTACCAGGCTATCAAGCATTTGAGCTCCTCTGGGCAGATGGGTGCTGGGAAAGCCCAAGGCAAGGGCTACTCATCAGCTGGGAATGGCTTTCCCAGACCAGACCCGACCACTGCCCTTGTGCCAGAAGCACTGGGAGCTTCACCAGCACGGAGCTTGGCAGGCCAGAGAGCGATGGTGCCAGCAGGCAGGGAGTTCCTGGCACTGGGGTCACAACTGCCCGTGGTGTTTGAGGATCCTGTCTAGGGACTGTAGAGCTGCCATACCAATGCCGGGAGCAGCCTGCAGCAAGCAGAGGGGATGCCTAGGCTGGGAGGTTCACAGCAGACTCCAGCTCACAAAGGGTCACTCCTGGGAACTGCCACAGGCAGGAACCCTGGCACAATGGAGACTGATATCGCAGAGCACCAGTCCTTCCTCCAGCACCTGGGAACTGCAAGACTTCAATTCTGATGTATCCCCACCAGCACTGTTTGCCCTTTGCTCTGCACTCAGCCAGAGGGGCAGGCTCCCTTTGCAAGTACAAAATACGATTTGTGCCAGAACAACGTTTTATTTAGAGCGTTTTTATAAAAAGGAACTGCCACTGATACCTGGGGACTGAGCAGCTCCTGCCCCGAGCCATGGGACAGCTGACTACTGGGATGCACGCCCCAGCGCCCGCGGCCCCTAGGAGAATGAGTGGGCCCAAAGCCCAGGTGTAGGCAGCCAGAGCTACAGACACGGGTAGCAGAGTCAGGGCCCATCACCCAGTGAGAGACACCAGGTTTTACAGCCAATGGCAAGACGTTCAAATGTACCAACGTGATGTTACCACCAGCAGAGGAGCTCAGCCTGGGCCCAGCACAGACGTTGACATTGGGGCGTAACAGAACCAGGCTGCTGGACGAAAGGGCACATTGCTGGCATGGGCAATGGCTGCTGGACCGATCCCTTGCTGAGGCCAGGGCAGTGCTCCCTGCCCCCATGCACTGAGTCACATGCAGCGCTGGTCCTAGGCACACATGCCTGTGCGCTCACTCCCCCAGCAGCGTGGTGACCTCGTGCACGTGGTCACGCACCACCTGGTCCAGCACAGCGTACACGTCCTTGCAGGCCTTGCTGGCAGCCTCCATGACTTGCTCCAGGTGGTCCTCGTGCAGCCGCGAGTTCATCTCCAGCAGGGCAATCTGGTCCGACTTGGGCAGCAGAGCGAGGGCTACCTGGGGCCCGCCAGCTGCCTCCTCCACATAGTTGAGGTCGGCCAGCGGCGTGTCCTCGATGAAGCCGGCAGAGCAGGCGCACACGTAGTCTCGCATGGGGATGCCTGCGTCGATGGTGGCCAGCGTGGCTGCATTCACGCAGGCACAGTAATTCCCACCGTCTGCCTGCAGGATCTGGGGAGGCACAGTGCTTAGCACAGAGGGCAGAGCAGGCTGCACCCACCCACTCAAGGGACCTGTGTTCAGAGCTAGACCCGGCATGCCCTCAACCCTCCTTGGTGATCAGTCACCTGCTCAAGACACAGTACAAGCCCTGTGCAAACTCCTGCTGTTGCTGTCTGAGCAGGCGGTGGGACTAGTAGGGCAGTGAGCAGAATGCACTGTGGCTGATCCCAGCCTGAACTCCACACAAACAACCCTCCTCACATCGGTGGACGAGCCAATGCCCCAGCCAGGCGAGTGCCCCCCACATAGATCACCGCCCCCTGCCCCAATGGCTCAGCTGACAGTTCCTTGTGCCCCTTGGTCACACCATACTGCTCCCCAACATGCTCCCTGG